TTGGTTCATACAATTTTGAGCATTGGATATTGTTATTAAAAGTCATCTCAACCGTTCAAATGTCCTAGTAGGACAAATGTGTGTAAGACAAATTCAAAAATAGTCGTGCTTTATTATATAACTAGTATATGCCCGTGCCTAAAGGCACGATATAGATATTGTTGGGGTTAAAATATAATTGTAATTTATATATATAATGTTAAAATTTATGGAGGCTGTAATATTTTTTGACACAAGTATTAAAAAAAATAAAGAAATATTATTTTGGTTATAAAGAAATATAATTTATCTAATTTGTTATAAAAATAAAATAAAATTGAGGTCAAATATAAATTAGATGGCCTGTTTAGTTTGAATTTTCAAATGAATTTTATAATTAGAATTTGGTTGTATATTTTAAAAATAATTTTTACAAATTTGAAATCCAAAACTTATTTAGTTCTAGAGTTTTTGAAAAGAATTTTTTTAATTTTAAATTTGTATTTTATTATATTTTAGTAAACTTTTTAAATATTTTGATAAACATTTTTTATTTATTAGATCTATTCATGTAACAACTCAAAAATTTAAGCTATTCCTTAAATTTTATACTAGTGTTATGGTTGTACGTAATGATATAAATAATAATAAATACAGAATCTAATTTGGCATTGGATTATCAAATATGAGATTAATTAGGGATTATTATTTGGGGCCAAATTAATAGAAATATGGAATTATAATACTAGTTAGGCCAAATTAAAGTTAAAGATAGTGAATAAATAAATATAAAAGGAAGAGTAACTAAATAATAATGTTGATAATAACAATAATAATAATGGGCGTGGTAGTAAAATAAATAAATAATTTTCTGTTGATATACGATAGAGTGTAATTTAATTAGAGATTAATTTATTTATATAGTTATATTAGAAAATTGGGTCAAAGTGTAATTATTTTAAATATTTATTAAAGATAAGTATAAATCTATATAATTTATGAATCAAATCTGGGAAAGATACGCGCTAGCCACGTATTGGCCAGCTAATGTTCATACCTTCCTGTAAATAGGGATGAGGTGATCACTGTGGAAAGAAAGGAAGGAAAAAAAAGAGAGGAAGGAGAAGGGAAATAAGGAAGAAAATGAAGAAAAAAATAATGGAAATCGAGAGTGTCTTTAGTAGTGAAAAGAAATAGTGAGGTATTAAAGTTAAGGTGAGTTATATTATACCTTGAGTCAGCATAATATATTTTACGTATGTTTTGACTTACCATAATTTATTTTATACAAGCTGTATTTTATTAGTTATATTAATATAAGTTATGTTTCATAAATATTTCAATTACGTGGATTAATTTCTGAACCTTATTTATTAAAATAAAACACATGGATATGTTTGTTTAAATTTTAAAGATTATTTGACTATGACTTTGTAAACAATTATGTTTTGTAAGTACCACCGTGGGAGTCCCACACCTTGGGGGACTTAAATAACCATTGGTCTCTGTTTGACCACATTGTGGCTCTCTGTTTTCATTGATCTATTGACCTCTGTTTTGTGCGGAACAAAGTGCTGTGCGGAGATAAGTGCTACACTATTGTGAGAGCCACTTTTATAATCCGCACGAGCCACCTTTTGAATCCGTATCTCTGTTCTAACTGTCACTCATGTGACCTCTGTTCTGTTCTGTTCGGTACCGTGCTACTTAAATGATTATTTGTTCAGACTAAGTCATCTTAATATTTTAGTTACATAACTATCCATGGTTATTTTGTGTCCCTTATGCTCTCGACATAATATTTCTCACTCTGCCATGTGCTTATAGTTGTTTACCAATTTTCAGGAAACAGTGCAATTCAGAAATAGCTTTTGGAAAGTCTTAGACGCGGGGCTGCAGAATAGACACACACAGTACCTTTATGATATATTTATATGTAAATATCAGCTATTTTGGTCAATAAATTTTGTTATAAAAATATAAGCTCCAATGATTATTTTGGTACTCTCACTTGAATATTATTTCCACTCGTGTTTATTAATTTGTTTAAGAATTGACCGGAGGTAACCTCAGTTACTAGTCATCACGATACTTAACCCTTGGGTACGGGGAGCGGGTCGTGACAATTCAATCTGAATACACTTAAGAATTATAAAATTTAGAGTAATGCTATAAAATTTACATTTATAATTTTAAAAATAATATTTACGATTTTAAAATAAAATTGTATAAGTTGTTGTTTAGGATGTGCTATATAAGTGCACTTTTTGACTTTTTGGCTAAAAAAGTAAAGAAAAAAATATGTATGTTTGGGATAATTTTTTGATTTTTTACGAAAAAATGTGTAATAAAATATTGTAGTAAAAGAAAAATGACCATTCTACCCTTTTGACTTGATTTTTGGATTGTTGAATTCAAAGAGCAAAATAATAATTTTGTAGTCTAGACTTTCTCCAGTAGCTTCTTCCAAATAATATAAATTTTTTGACCCTTTTTTAATAATTTTTTAACTTTTATAATTTATGCCAAACCAACCCTGAATAATACATTTTGGCCGCAAGAGAGTGAGATGACAAACAACAAAACACACTTTTCACCCAAGAGCCACGCACACATAAAATTAAAAATAAATAAATAACTAAACATAAAATGACATACACAAAATAATTCATCTTTTTATCTTTTTTTCATCACATCACCTCTCTACTTTTCTGCACATTTTTTCGTAAAAAGACAAAAAAGTATACTTATTTAGGTCATCACAAACAAACCCTCAACTTTTTTATATTTTTTTATCACACTCACACACACGCAGACTCTCTCTCTCTCTCCTCAAAACACAGTTTGCTACCCAAGAAGAGGAGGGCAGAATTTATAGCAGAATTTTTGTCTTCAATTTTTTAATTTAGATTTATGTAAGTCTGTCTTACTTAATTGTTTCATTGTTTGTAATTATGTAAGTGATGATGACTATCTTAAGTCTATCTAAAATATTATATAATTTAATCTCAATTAATTAAATTATATTCTATTCGGAATCACTTAATATTGTTATTAAACTCAATTGATTAAATTATTAAATTTCGTTCCTTTTAAACTCAATTGATTAAATTACATTCTTAATTACCTAATATTGTTATTATGAGAGTTGTTTATTGTTATTATGAGAGAGTTACCACCCAACAAAATATATATTTGTAATGAAAACATATTATATCATTTTAATATTTATGTTACAAAATTTTAGAGTGATATTACAATATACTTTGAGTGGTTTTGAGAAATTGATTAAATATTGACTTTTAACGTTGTTTGACTTTATTGAAAAAACATATAAAAAAAATAAAAAGATAATATCACCCAAAATATATTAAAAAACTGATTTTTAACTTTTAACCAAATCTACGTGGGGTTGCCTCTCACTTTTTCCCTTATCTCATCAATCTTCTCTTTTCCTTTTCTTTTTGTTTGTTTTTCTTGGGAAGAGATTTCCCCTCCCATGCCTGCGTCCGTCTCTCAAATTTCACTATTGTTGCTCAAGTTTGAGGTTAGAATGGGAAGGAATTTTGCAAAACTTTCTCTTTGAAACAAAACTCACAAAAAGAAAGGTATCAGTACCGTATAAATAATATTGAGATCAAAATATAATCTTAATTTCTATGTATTATATTAAAATAAGTGAAGTGTGTAGTATTTTTTTAATAAAGACACTAAAAAAATATTATTTTTCTTAAAGAACTTTTAATAATTTTATTTATATAACTCTTCTTAGTATTGATATAAATTAAGAAATAAACATACAAAATTTATAATGTTTGCCACAAAAAAAAAAAAAAAAAAAGTCCTATATTTTATTTCACCAACAAAAATAAAATAGTGAAATAAAAAATATATACATAAAAGAAATACTCCAGATAACATTATTTAATTTGAAGGTGATAATTACTGTTTTTTTTTTTTTGTTGTTGAAAGTCTCGTATTCTATTGCATGCTTGTATTGCTCTCTTTACCCATAAATAATATATTCTTTTATCCTCACAAATCCCCGTCCAAGAAAAACCATATACAACCAAAAATAAAAAAAAGAAACTGAGAGATATCACAAAAGCAAGCCATGTTTCCACATATCTCTCTCTCAGATCAATGTACAACAAAGTCTACTTTCTTTATAGCTTTTTCATTACCAAAGAAGACTAAACAGGAGGAGTGAGAAAAATATCCTCCCTCCTTCGCTACCACCACTACTCTGGCACAAACAGAACACACACACACACAAAAAAAAAAAAGAAAAAAATCGAAACTCATTCTCTCTATCTATGAAATACGTTATCCCAACTCATTCTCTCTCCACTCGTTCGATGATACTCTCTAGAGCATCTCCCGTGGTGGTCCGTCTGGTGCAAGTTTTGTCTCCCTTCGTGGTAGGGGTTGGGTGGAGTGCATCCTTGGGTACCAGGGATGACTGAAACTATTGATGAGTTGACAAAGCATCTGTCACTTACGGAGGAAGGGCAGGACACTGGGGGTGTTTGGTGCAGCTTTTTTAAGCCAACTTATGGCTTCTGGCTTTTAAAAAGTTATTTTAGACTGTTTGGTTAAACTTATTTCAAACAGCTTCTGATTTTAACAACTTATTTTAAGTCAAAAAAGCTGATTCTGAGAAGCTGCTCACCCCTTGCTTCTGATTATCAGCTTCTGCTGTGGACATGTTAATTCACGGTTATACTCTTAGATTTTTTTATTTTTTATTTTTTTAAAAATAGAAAAAGACTCAAATGGACTATTAAATATTATTATTATTTTTTATGAAAAATGTAGACAAATAGTGAATAATAAAAAATAAAAATTAATTGAAAAAGCTACTTCACAGCTTATTTAACAAACACTACTCAGCAACTTAAATCTATAATCCAACAGCTATACCAAACAGATTAACAGCTTCTGATTAAAGTCATAATCTATAATCTGTTAAGCTATAATCTATAATCTGTTTTAACAGCTACACCAAACACCACCACTATCGTGGTACAGGAGTTCCTCACAAAATCGGTTGAAGAAAAGGCTTGGTTATGCTTAATTGGGAAGCTGCTTACTCCCAGAGCATTCAGTACAGATGCAATGAAGTTCACTCTAATGGCCATTTGGAAACCAATTAAAGGTATGAAGTTTACCACAATTGGGGATAATATTTTCTCGTTCCAATTTAATCACATCGTTGATAAACGACGGTGTTGTTGAACGGTCCTTGGAGTTTTGATAAACACCTTGTTCTCTTGAGTGCGATGGATGCACATCTATAACTCTCAGAAGTCATGTTATCAATGGCCACCTTTTGGGTTCAGATCCATAACCTTCCATTGATTAGTATGACAAGAGAAGTTGGTAAACTAATAGGAAACAAGGTTGGCTTGCTCGTGGATGTTGAATATGGATCTGATGGAGCAGCGGTGGGATGTTATCTTCGGATACGGGTCCAAATAGATATTTCGAAACCTCTACGAAGAGGCGTGAAGCTATCAGTGCACAATCGTGATTCGATTGGAAGTAGGCTGACAGATAGAGAGAGAGTGAACACATTCAATGAAAGAAATAGCTTTGCCAGGTGAGTAAGTAGTGAGCACAAGTAAACCTTAACAATATTACATATTTCAAAAGATTACTTAAAATTTTATTTAAATAATACGTTTATATATAGAATACAATGATTCTGAATATAACTGTTGGTACCTCTAGTTTGAATGATGTTTAACTTTAGTCTATGTAATTTAATTTGAATGAAAAAAAGGTTACATGCAAAACTAGAAGGATTAAAGTAGAATTAAAAAAAAAAAACTATATAAGTAATATCGGTGAAATATATAAACTACACTAGTGGTTTCTATAATTCTTTTGAATTTCCCTTTGATCCCTCTAATTTTGTATGTGATCTTTTCTGTTCAAAATTCTAAAGATAAGTGCGGATGAACCATATAGCAACAAAACTGTAAAGTTTAAATTAAAATTATATTACTTTTTTTGAATAATTTTATTGATAGACCCCAATTATTCTGAGTATGACTCACGTCCCATTAATTTTAAATTTACACCGCACAACTCACTTTCAGAATAATTTTCCAAAAAAACAAAAAAAATTGTAAATAGCAGTTACCAACTTCAAATGTTTTTTTTGGGTGAATAACCTCAAATGTTTCTGTAACTAACCCAACAATGCCACCTGTGAGGCTCTTAAGTGTGAGTAGTTGAGCCACTTAAACCCACATTACTTCCCTTAAGCATCATTGGCCCGTTTGGTAGAGTTATGGGAAAGTGATTATAAATTATAACTTAATGAATTATAGCTTATTAGCTGTGAACATAAGTTGTTAATCTGTTTGGTGCAGCTGTGGGATTATGGATTTAAGCAGCAGAGTAATGTTTGGTAGATAAGCTGTAAAATAGTTTTTTTTTTTAATATAATTGTCTTTTTTGCCCTTATATGATATAAAAATGATAATTTTGTCATTTTTTTTCAATTAACATAATTAGTATTAATTAGTATCAATTTATATAAAAATTGATACATTTGATAAAAATGTAATGACTTAATTAGTCTCAATAAATACTAAAATTATTAATTAGTATCAATTAATATTAATAATTTTTTTTCCTTGTTTCTTTTATTTATTTTTTCTTTTCTTAATTGATACTTTTTCTTCTTTTCTTTTCCTTGTTTCTTTCTTTTCTTCATTAATAATAATAATTAGTATCAATTCATATTAATATTAATATTTTTTTTCTTTTATTTTTTTTTCTTTTCTTAATTAGTCTCAATGATATAAAAATGTAATTTTTTTTTCAATTAAAAATTGGTACATTTTTTTTTCTTTTATTATTAATGGCTTAATTTTTTTTCTTAATAATTTTCTTTTCTTCAAAATTGATACATTTCCTTGTTTCTTTTAATAATACTAAAAATGTAATGTCTTAATTAGTCTCAATTAATACTAAAATGTAATGTCTTAATTAGTTTCAAAATTGTTATTACAAAATTGTTTCTTTTAATTTATTATTACAAAATTGTTACAAAATATACCAATTTAGTATCAATTTAGTATTACAAAATATACAAAATATGTTATTATTACAAAATGTAATGGCTTAATTTAGTATTAATTAATATAAAATTTATTATTATTATTATTAAAAAAATACTGACAACCTTTCTTCTCCGGTAGCCCCGGCAGTGGGCACAGTGGCGACGAGGTGCTAGGATTTGAGATCGCGACAGCGGAAGGGAGATCGCGACGGTAGAAGGGAGATCGCGACAGCATGGAAGGGATCTGTTGCGATCGATCGTGACGGAGGACGGGGCACTACGGTTTCATATCGCGACGCCGGAGAGAGAGATCTGCTGCTATCGCGATGGGTGTGGTTAGAGTTGTCGATCGCGAGCTCTGGTTCGTCACCGTTCAATCGTCATGCCGTCGATGGCGAGCTCTGGTTCATCGATGGCGAGCTAGGGATTTTCCCTTTTGGTTCGTGAGAGAGAGAGAGAGAGAACTAGAACCCATCGCCGGAAATCGCCTCAATTCACTGAAAATCGCCTCTTTGGCTCGTGTGAGGGACAAAAATGAGTGTGTTTTGGTTTATATACGTGGCACAGTTGTAATAATTTGAAATTGTGAGGGGCATTTTAGTCATTTTACCCCTCACATCTCAGCTGCGCGCTTAAGCTGATTTTTGACTTATAAATTAAGCTTCTCCTCCTCCACTCAAAGAATAAGTTCATTTTTTACTTACAAAAAGTTATAATCTATATTGTTAAGCTGAACTAAACACATCAAAATAGCTTAAATTAAGCTAAAAACTGATATAAGTTGGAAATAAACCCTACCAAACAAGGCCATTATGCATATAGTGTCTTTGTCACTCAAAACTCACTCAAACCATTTGAAGACATTAGAGAAGCTAAGTCACAGCTTCTCAAGCTTCAAGCTTGTCCATCATAGTTTTTTTTCCTCTTTTTCTTTCCAGTTTTTCATAGTGTCTAGGGAGGGCATTGGGCTGAGTTCCAATGAAGATTTGTTCCCTTTATGGAAGGGCTTTTTGGGTTTATGGGTGTTTTTGTTCTTTGCTGTGAGCTTCTACCATGGCAATGATAAGATAGTACTTGAGGTAGTTGGCATTGGAGAATGTACAGATTGTGCTGACAGTAATATTAAGGCTAGCCAAGCCTTTTCAGATATATAATGCATAAATATAGCACGGTCAATTTTACATTATTGAATAAAAAATGTTATATATAATTCGAACAGTTCATCTCGTAAATTTAGTTGTAAAGATAATTATGTGAAAAATTAATTTCATTGGATATCAAACATATGAACAAATTATGTTATATTTTTTTAAAGTAGTCGGCAACGATGAATTTAAATTTAGACCGTGTATTTTATAAAATAAAATACGATTTATTTATCTATTCATTGATATCGGATGAAGTTGGTTTTTGCATAGATGATTTTCACTGCGAGATTTACGAGTGCGAGATTTACGAGATGAACAATTCGGATCATTATTTGTGACTTAAAATGGACCCACAAAATGAAATATGGAGGGGTATGGAGAGGAGCCATTCCTCTTTTTCTTACTCCTAAACACAAATGAGTGTGTTCCATGTGCATTTATTGATGTGAGCTATATTACTTTGTGTCTACAAGTAAAAAAATGAGATAAAAATATGATTATATATAACCTTTCTCTTCTTGCATATTTTTACTAGCCTATCACCCGTGCTATGCGCGGGATAATTATAGATATTTATTTTTGTTTTAGATTTTTTTAATATATAAATTATATTTTTTAAGATTTTTTTATAAAAATAATTTGACAGTTTTATCACTAATCATATTGTATGAGAGAAGTTAAAAAAGGTACTGGAATAACTATATACGAGTTGTATCTACAATTATTCGTATGAGGGGATTTTAAATGCTAATCAGGATATTTTGACCAAATCAATAAATCCAGGCCTATGGAAGGACATGTGGATTGAAAAAGTTAATAAATACTGATCAGAGATTTTGATCAAATCAATAAATGCTGAGTTTTTGTTTTTTAAATAAGAAACTTAGAAAATTCAGATTGGAATATTGAAGCTCCCACAGGCCTTAGGGGTTAAAAACCCCCTTTTACTTAATATATAGTATAGATGTGAAAAAATTGAGTGTTTTTAGAGATTTCCATCTCCGCTTGCCATGCATTACCTACTATGCTAACGATCTTTTTTGTTACATTCTTTCCTAAAAAGGTCTAAAAAAATATAGAAATAGATAATAATAAAAAAAAATGGGAAACAATCATTTTAGAGTTAATTACCTAAAAATTCTATTTACAAATTTTATGGTAGTTTGGGTCCTATCTAAGATTTTTTGAACCAATAAGTCATATTTTGTAAAACTGAGAATATTATCATTTTTTTTTCAATTTTTAAAACTAAAAACATTATCAATTTTGCATAATAATGTTCCAGATAATTGTTTCACTAACTGATTAAAAAAAAAGAGCATGAGAGATTAAACGTTTTTGCCCTTCTACTTATTGATTTGATTTAAATATCTAATAAAACTGAAAATATTATCAGTTTTTTCTAGTTTTAAAGCTGAGAACATTATAAGTTTTTTTCATTTTAAAAGTTTTTTTTTCTTCCAGTTTTACATGTCAATGTTCCATCATCATGCTCCTTTATAGATGCAAAATTTTTAGTTTTGCGCAAAAAAATAATTTAGTTTTTGCAAAAAAAAAAAATTTGTTTGTTTCCAGTTTTTTGAAAACACTTTTCGAAAAATTCTACTTTCTTGTTTTTCGTATTTTTTGTTTTCACTGAATTTTTTTAATATTTTAAGCAATTTTTAAAATTTTTAGACATACTTAACATAAATACACTTAAAAGTATCATTTTTGTGAAATTTTTTTTTTTTAAAAATTCACTAAACAGCAAAAATACAAAAATACAAAAAAAAAATTACGAAAATTCAGTATATTTTTTGTATTTTTGTGTATTTATTAATTTTTTAAAATATATTTTCACAAATATTTTACTTTTTAGATATATCTAAGTATGGTGCATCTAAAAAAGTAAAAAAAAAAATACTTGAAATTTTAAAAATATTCACTAAAAACAAAAAAAAACATGAAAAAAAAAAACTCAGTTTTCAAAAAATCGAATTTAGAAAACTGAAACCGAACACACTAATTAGCTTCTTTTTTTTTTAACATAATTTTTTTTTAGTTTTTTCAATTTGAAAGTTGATTTTTAAAGTTTTTAAAATCAAAATAAATGTCAAATCATCATGTTCCTTTATAGATAATCATAAATGAATCATTGTTTGAAGGGCAGTTTCGACTATTAAAAATTTAATGGGACTTGAAGGTGTAAAAAATTTTAGTTAGGACTTAATGGAGTATAAGTTTATAAATTAAGATTTGTGTGTAAATGTCCCATCTTTTTAAATGAGATAGATTTCATATTTTTATGAGTCTCACACTCATACAAGATAATTGTATTCAATTTTGTGATTAATTTCTATACAAAGTAAATGCATTGTTCACAATTCCAAGTGCCTTCACTGTTATAGATGTTGGGGAGAGTTATGTGACACTTCATTTGGAGAGTGAGAGAGCAAATATGTTGGTCCATGGTTTTATCATCATATATGTTATGAAAGAATGGCATAATTTCAATTCACAAAACAGTTACAGAAAAATAAAAAAAATACATGGAATGCTAAATATATGTTCTTTAATAATATGCTTGTCTACAGGAGAGGGATATTGATTATTATGTGCAATAAAGATTATAAATTCTAAACACCTCAGAGGCATTCATATTATTTATTTGTGTGGGACATACATAGGATCCAAACAAATGAATAATTATTTTTGTTGTTTTTGGGCCAATTAGTCCCAACAATGACAACTACTATTAATACAACTCTTTAAGAGAAACTTAACAACTATTGAGATTTTGATCAATAATTTGATTTTTTTTCTTTCTACAGGACTCCATGTAACCATAGACTGCAAGGACACAAATGGAGAGCTCAAAACAAGAGGAGTTGGAAAGCTTGATGATGAAGAAAAATTCAGAGTCTCTCTTCCTTCAAACATCTTAGAAAAGTATGGAAGTTTGAAGGAAGAGTGCTTTGCACACCTTCACAGTGCATCAACTGCACCATGCCCAGCTCATAGTGGCAACAACGAGTCCTCATATGTCGTCTTCAAGTCTAAAATCGCTAGAAAACACACATTTAGCCCTGCTGGAATACTCAAATTCTCCCCGGTTTTTGAGGATATTCCATCAAAGCCCAAGCATAGCTCACAGCTCAACTAATGTTCTAGTTCAGTGATGAAGCCAAGCTGCAGCTCAATCTATGTGACTGCATCAGTTTAAACAGATATCAGTTAGATAGTTTGTTAGTTTGTTAAACAGTTACAAGTAATTAGCACATGTTGTTTAGATACATATCTCTTGTATAGATATAGCTATAGCTATATATATAAGGATAGCTTGTACATTCAAAGTATGAAATAAGAGATTCATATTTTCATCATGGTATCAGAACTTTGAAGCTCTAACGAGCATTCTTCCATGGCAGCTTCCGTATCATCTCTGTCTTCAAATATTCCATCTAATCTTTCACTTCCGATCTCCAATTTGTCTTCTTTTGTGACAGGTAAACTTGATTCTACCAATTTCATTGTTTGGAGTAGTCAAGTCTCTAATATCCTTAGAGCTACTAATCTTCTTGGATATGTTGATGGTTCCATTCTCTGTCCTTCTTGTATGATCATTAATGGAGATGGTCTTGAAGTAACCAATCTAGATTTCATTCAATGGAATCTAATCGATGCTCACTTATTGAGTTGTCTCAATGCTACTGTATCCCCTCCGATCTATTCTACTATTCTTCAATTTCATCATTGTGCTGAAGTCTGGTCTGCTCTTCACAAGAAACTCATTTCTCTTATAAGATCACATATCCATCAGCTGAAGAATAAATTGAATTCTGTTATAACAAGGTCTGAATCAATTGAGAAATATCTTTCCAAAATCAAAGATATCGTAAGTCAGTTGGCTCTTGCATCAGTAGCTATTGACGATGAAGATCTTGTTCTATTTACCTTGAATGGTCTTCCTGATGAGTTTGATGCCTTCAAAACAACAATTTGAGCTCGATCTAGTTGTATTTCAATGGAAGAGTTGTCTTGTTTTTTGTGTTCTGAAGCAGTTCACATGGAAGCAAAAACTAAAAAGGTTTTTGAACCAATAGTAGCATTTTCTACTATCAAAGGCTTTGCTTCTCCTACTTCTTCTACCTTTTCTCCTTGAGGACATTCATCTCGAGGTAGATCATCTTTCAAAGGAGGACGAGGAGGAAGATATTACAGAGGAGGCAATGGCAATGGAAAATTCTCTAGCCATTACACTCGAGGAAGAGGAAGATATTCACAGAATTCTCACAACTCTCAAGCTTGTCAAATTTGTGGATAATCTTACCTATTATCAACCATATCAAGGTACCGACCAGGTCACTATTGGAAACGGCACCACTGGCCCTATTAATCACACTGGTAAAGGACTTTTACCCACTCCACATCATTCATTTTAACTTAACAATATTCTTCATTCATCATCTATTTCTTCCAATCTTGTCTTTGTTCAAAAGTTAGCTCAAGATAATCATTGCATCATAACATTTGATGATTCTAACTTTGTGATTCAGGACAAACTTACAAAGAAAGTTCTTCACAAGGGATGTAACATCAATGAACTTTATCATTTCCTGCCATCACCTGTTTCTTCATCTGCTGCTTCTCCATTTTGTTCTCAAGCTTTTGTTACTTGTACTGATAGATCTACTTCTGTTACACCTACTATTTGGCATAATAGACTAGGCCATCATTCCTCTGTAAAATTTCATCATCTCAAACATCATTTGCATCTTAAATCTGTACCTCATGCTACTCAAGATTGTGTAGATTGTTGTGTTGCTAAAAGTCATAGACTTCCTTTTCATTTGTCAAATTCAAGTGTAAATAAGCCTCTTTCACTTATTCATAGTGATGTTTGGGGCCCTTTCCATTCTTCTTCTACGTACAGATACTATGTGATTTTTGTGGATGATTTAGTAAGTTTACTTGGTTGTATCCTCTAGTCTACAAAAGTGAGGTCTATGACAAATTCCTGGAATTCAAAGCTTATGTTGAGAAACAATTTGATACTGTTTTAAAGATACTTCACACTGATGGAAGAACTGAGTTTTGTAATAATAAAATGGAGTTTATTGTTGCTAATGGCATTATTCACTAACATTCTTGCCCATACACTCCACCACAAAATGGCACTGCTGAAAGAAAACACAGGCATATCACAGAGACAGCAGTTGCATTGATTCATCATTCTTCCATGCTTCTTGAATTCTGGTTTGAAACAGTTGTTGTTGCCACTTACTTGATTAATAGACTTCCTTCTACTCAGCTGCAGCATCAATCTCCTTTTGAAGTCTTATTTCATCACCCTCCGGACTACTCTTTTCTCAGGGTCTTTGGTTGTCTTTGTTATCCTAGGCTTTAGCCTTATTCCTCTACTAAACTCCATCCTAAGTCTTTACCTTGTGTCTTTCTTAGTTATCATCCTTTTGCTAAGGGGTACAAGTGTCTTGATCCCATTTCTGGTAGGATTTATCTTTCTAGACATGTCATTTTCAATGAATCTACATTTCCTTTTAACCAAATGACCTCTATCTCTTCTTCTCTTTCTTTACCTCAAATTCAATCATTCTTTTGGTCCACTATACCTACTCCATCTTCTTCTCCATCTGTTTCTTCTTTACATGGCCAGTCTAATTCTCCTCAGTATTCTCATTCTTCTTCTTCTCCCACAACTATTCCTCCTCCTTCTATTTCTTCCATTATTACTGTTTCTTTTCGTCAGCAGCAGACTGTTGTTCAGCCCAATTGTGTTCTTTCTTCTTCCTCTATTCAAATTAACTCTATCTCAGTTCACTTACCATTGCTCCCACTTGCAACTGCAAATGTCCATCCCATGATCACTAGGTCTAAACTCTCCTCTCAATGTTTAATTCACACCAAGCCTTCTCCTATTTTGTAATCAGATTTTGGATCTACATCCCATAAGGAAGCTCTTATTTCTCCTATTTGGCATAAGGCTATGCAAGAAGAATTTGATGCTTTGCAAAAGCAACAAACTTGGTCTCTAGTTTGTCTTCCCCCAGGAAAAAAATTTATAGGTTGTAAGTGGGTTTTCAAAGTTAAAAAGAATTCTGATGGCACCATAGCTAGACACAAAGCTCGACTAGTGACCAAGGGTATCTTCAGCAAGAAGGTGTGGACTTTCAAGCGACTTTTAGTCCTGTAGCCAAGCTTCCAGCAATCAGAATTTTACTTTGCCTAGCTCTCCATCATCAGTGGCCCTTGAAGCAATTGGATATATCCAATGCCTTCCTTCATGGAGTTCTTGAAGAGGAAGTGTTTATGTATTAACCACCAGGATTTGTTCATCCAGATCAGCCTAATCATGTCTATCATCTCAAGAAAGCCATATATGGCTTGAAACAGGCACCTAGGGCTTGGTATTCTACATTTTCAGCCTATCTTTTCTCTCAAGGTTTCCATAATAGCGAATGTGACTCTTCTTTGCTCATCCAGAAATAGCACTACTTTCATTGCTCTTTTGGTCTATGTGGATGACATTTTAGTCACAACGAATGATGCTTCTCACATTCAATCACTTATCTCTCATATGCACACTACCTTTTCTATGAAAGAAATTGGTGATTTTTCATATTTTTTGGGTATTTCCATCACACCAACTTCCACTGGCTATGTTTTGCCTCAACAGAAGTATGCTCAGGATATTCTTCATAAGGCAGGTTTAGCTGATTGTAAACCTTGTCCATCTCTGTGGGGGTCGAATAACTATATACTAAGGAAAGCCTAATTTATTTGAAGGAAAATCAGGACAAAGATGATTTAGCTCTGTCCAAAGGGGACCTGAAGCCAAATATTTAAATCGGCCATGCAATCAGCCATACAAGGAGCCGAATAAGAATTGGCATACGACTGAAAGGCCGAATAAGCAATCATGCGTTGGATTAAGAGTGGGCCCGACCCCTGGGATCAGATACTAGTATAAATAGAGGAACATCAACCAAAGAAAGGTATGTGAGAATAGATTAAATAACTTGAGATAGAAGCAAACTTGAGAGCAAATACTAACTTGTCTGTCGGAGTGCTAATTTCGACACCCCCGACCGAAGTGTTCATCCTTTTTCAGGTGGCAATAAGAGGATCAAGAACGTCTTACTTGATCTTGGAGTATTTCCAAATCATTTCTCCACAATCTCCTATATCAGTTAAACCTTCCATTGCCCTTGATTCAGCCGCATTGTGTCCTGATCCCGCTCTCTATCGAAGCCTCATTAGTGCTTTTCAATATCTCACCATCACTCGCCCAGATATTTCTTTGGCAATCAATCACTCTTGCCAACATATGCATTCTCCCACAGTTGATCATTATGCTGAAGTTAAAAGACTACTACGTTTTGTTAAGGGTACCATTGGGCATGGTTTGACCTATTCTCCAAGTTCTTTTGATATTCATGCCTATTCAGATTCTAACTGGGCTGGAGATGTTTTAGACAGAAAATCTGCCTCAGGTTATTGTATATTTTTGGGCTCTAACCTGGTGTCTTGGTCAACCAAAAAGCAAGCCACAGTCTCTCGCTCTTCCACTGAAGTAGAGTACAGATCTCTTGCTCATACTGCTACAGAATTGGCTTGGATTGGCATGCTCCTTACTGACTTATCTATTTCCTCCCCTGTGCCTCATACTCTCTAGTGTAACAATGTCCCTGTTATTGCTTTGGCATCCAATCCAGTATTTCATTCTAGGTCTAAACACATTGAAGTGGACTGCCACTTCATTCGAGATCAAGTTCTTGCTAAAAGGCTGGTTCTTGAGTATAATCCAACTATTGACCAATTGGCTGACATCTTCACTAAACCTCTCTCTGTCTCCAAATTTTTGTATCTCAAAGACAAGCTTATGGAGTTCACTCACCCCATTATTTTGAAAGGGAATGTTGAGGATATCCCATCAGAGCCCAAGCACAGCTCACAGCTCAGCTCATGTTCTAGTTCACTGATGAAACTGAGCTGCAGCTCAGTCTATGTGACTGCATCAGTTTAAATAGATATCAGTTAGATAGTTTGTTAGTTTGTTAAACAGTTACAAGTAATTAGCACATGTGGTTTAGATACATATCTCTTGTATAGGAATATGTATAGCTATATATATAAGGATAGCTTGTACATTCAAAGTATGAAATAAGAGATTCATCTTTTCATCACCGACGACGTGCGCTTCAGCTTTCTTGTGCCATTTCTTCATGCACCCACCTCTCTCCGAACAACCACCATTGATGAACTTTAGCCACCCTTTCCATTTTCATCCCAAGTTCTCCCACCCAGTACACAAGCCGTTTTCACCGCCCGTTCCTGTTTATGTGAAACAACTTCCACCTCCAGTCCCGATATACAAAGAGCAACTTCCTCCACATGTGCCATTTTTTGAACCAAAACCGCCACTATTCGAGCCTCATGTGCCAATTTATAAACCACCAGTGGTCAAGCCTCCTCCGATATATGTAAAGCCACTTCCTCCGCCTGTGCCAATTTACAATCCAAAACCACCAGTGTTCGAGCATCCTCCTATATTTGGAAAGCCATTTCCTCATCATGTGCCAATTTACAAACCAAAACCACTAATGTTCGACCATCCTCCGATATATGAAAAGTCACTTTTTATGCATGTGCCAATTTACAAGGCAAAACCACCAGTGTTCGAGCATCCTCCTATATATGAAAAGCCACTTCCTTCGCCTGTGCTCACTTACAATCCAAAACCACCAATGTTTCGTGTTCAAGCATCCTCTGATATTCACAAAGCCACTTCCTTTGCCTATCCCAATCTACAAGCCAAAACCACCACTGGTTGAGCCTCCTTCCATTCCGAAGGTCTTCCCACCAATCTTCAAACATCTCCATCCATTCCCAAAGATCCACAAGATACCTTGTCTACTATTTCCTAATCTACCTCCCATCCCCAAGGTTCCACCAATGCACTTTCCCCATCCCATGTTTGGAGCCATGCCTTCCTTACCTCCTCATTTTCCTCATCCTTAGACTACCATCTTGGGTTTAAGTTATTGGGTAATTGCTCTTTCATATATTGAAGGGCTTGGCTTGAATTTTTAGTATTGTAATAAAGTCTACAAGGTAGAGAGAGAGATGGGAATTTGAAAAGAAAGTGTGATAGACATGGTGAGAAAAAAAAAACAAAGAGCAAGTAGATCATTGTTAAGGTGAATGTTTGTGGATGTTCTTCTTGTAGCAAGTAAACATGTTCAAATGGATCTGCTTACCAGAACATATAATATTTACATTTCTGCCAATTTTTTTCGATTGAAACTATGAAATCTTTTTATTGTGATTGTTGTCTTTGAGTTTTTAAATGTATGATGTTCACTGTTTTTTTAAGAAAATCAATTTTCCCTTTAAAATTCAAATTTTTTGGGGGAATTCCAAAGTCAGAAAGGAGCAAAGAAAAGAAAAGAAAACGGGTGCCTCTATTTACACACCACATTTCATCTCAAGGCACACCATTAATTAGTTTATTTTTTATTACAATATTAACCTAATGTAAATTGATCACAAAGGACATAGGGTTATGATACACACTTTACGTAAAATTATCATAAAAGACAATAATGAATACAATACACACCTCTCTTCTCAAACATTACTTATGTATCTTCTCTCTCAAGAACCCAAAAACCCTGAAAAAAAACCAAAAACCCTTAAAGAAACAACAACAACAACAACAAACAAAAAAAAAAAATGTATTATTGAAGATTTTGATTGGACTGAATGATGGATACATCTGACAATATTGGTTTGGAACAATGGAGCAAGGAAGAGGTTAGTTTTTCATATTTTTTTTTTTTTCCCGTTTTCGTGTACTTGATGAGTGGTAAACCATTTGTATTCGTTCGGATACCCAAATTCGAACAATGTACTCATGTTCGACTATCTACAACCAAACAAGTTCTTATTGTTCAATTTTCTAGGGTCGAACATAGTCCACATGTTCGGTTAATAAGTTTCAAACTTATAACATTTGTTCGGTTTTCAACAGTCGAACTTTTGAATTTAGATCGACTCTGTATTTCTGAACACTTATGCTATTATTTATATTCCCAGATCTCGAGTTTATCGTCCTGGGTGGGGTGAGTCCAAAGGGCGCTGCCTAGGATGAGTTTTCGGATATCAAAAAAGAAAAAAAAAAACAAAAACAAAAACAAATAGTGAGGAATTCAGCTATTATTTATATTCCCACACCACGTCCTGTGCTTTAGAGACAGCAACAGAAGGACTACAGAGTGGTCGTGGAGGACATGTTTGCATCATGTATGTATTTGTGGAGGTGACAAAAATGAAATGAATTCATTTATTGGGACATATCAGATGAACAACAAAAGCATTTTTGTTTTTTGGTAAAATGATGAAAGAACAATACAGAACAACAATATCACTAAACAACAAGAAAACAATAATGCCACACAATAGCAAAATGCAATATTGGAAGCACTGCTATTGTGGTGGAGTGTGGATCCCATCCAGGATATATAAATGCAATGTTGCCAAAACTGTACGTTGTGGACTTCTTTTTTTTTCTTTTTCTTTTTTTTCTTATAAAAATTATGTGGTTGTATTGTTTTCCACTAGGAAAAGTATGCAAAAATTGTCTGAGGACTGATGTTGCACAATTAGGGCCTTTCATTTTGAAAACAAATTACCAGCAAGCATTTAATTACAAAATATCGTTGTTACATTATTTGGTGAAGGGGATTTTGATCCTCTCCATTCCATATATATAATGGAAGATTTCTGTTACATATCCAATGGCTAAGAAATAAGAATGTAATTTTATTATTAGTTTAAATTAAAATAGATCATTATATTTCTCGTTGGATGATATAATAAAATCTCTTCATTACAAATATAGAATGGTGAGGATCACAATCCTAGTAGAGGATTCTAAATTTCAAAAATAAAAAACTAAGAATAGTGTCATATGTTTGCATATAAAAAATTTCTTATCTCATTGTCATGCTTTCTCTTTATTGGGTCAGCAAATTATCAGTTGTCATTGGAGGCATAATCAGCCATCAGCAGTGTCCATGCACTCTTCACCATTTTCTGCCTAATTTTGATTCTCTCAACTGCTTATTTCTTCTTTGAAGTTATTATTCTTTATACTTCCTTTTTTTCCCCTATGCAATTCATGTAATTAAGAACCATAAAATGTCATGTAAGTTATGTATATAGCGTACTGGTCAGACATTTACATTTCAAATGCTTGGGCTCACAAATTCTGGTACATAAGCAGTCAAATACTATATGTAGCAGCTGATATAAAGAACCATATTTATCCTATAAAAGTACAATAAAATTAGCTATTAATGAAATGGGATGGAATTGTTTCTGTTGACATACGAAAATGTGAATAATGATGAAAACCCAACAATCTTTGGAGCCAGTGGTATATATTTTGAAATTTGAGGCGTGGTTCTTGTAAGTTTTTGGCTCAAGGAAAATAATTGTCGATCAATAAGTCTATGAATACAAAATGGGACGCAAAATGTATTTTTCAAAAGTAGACTCACTAACAAATCCAGTAAACTTTAATCTACTCATATATGTTTTTTTGTGTCTAATTCTGTGATTGATTTTTGTGTTCGCAGTTGATATATTGTTAATGCAGCCTTTCACCTAAAAGAATGTACACTTTATTTCATGAGAGAGATTATATATATATATATACATTAATGAGAGTGCTGGCTGATTTATCTGCTCAGTGAATGCTCATTCAATAGCATGACATTGTTTGATCAACAGAGCTGGTGACCATTAATAGTATTATTTTTCTGCTCTGCACAACCCCATGCCATAACTAGTTGGGTCCCCAAACTTACCTTGAACCAGTAGTGCAGTGTTTGGAAGTCTCTTCAATCACCTCCTCATTCTATAAATAACTCAAAAACCATTCAATCAAATCACAGAAGGCTAGTATGGTTTCTCAACTTTTAAGCTGAAGTTTGGTTTCATCACCTGCTTCTCTCCCCTTGATATTGTTGGGTTCCTTCAAAGTGGGCAAAAGGGTCTCAATGCTGACACTTCCTTTTTGTAGAGGGGTATTTTTGGGATTTTGGTTTTTTTTACTATTGGCTGTGACAACCTGCTATGGTGACAATGAGACAGCAGAGGTGATTGGAATTGTAGAATGTGCAAATTGCACACAGAAGAATTTTAAGACCAGCCAGACCTTTTCAGGTACAACACTTTTCCGAGCACAAAAATGAATCATAGAACATTCACAAAGATATGAGTTACTCTTCTTGTGAATGTGATGTGATTCGTTTATGTGAAAGTATCTTTTTCATTTCAAGTACACAAATTTTTAGTAATGTTATACAAACAAAAAAAAAAAAAGAAAATTGGTTTAAATTTGTCATGTGAAATGAGATGGTCTCTTGTGGTCTTTTCATTTAAAATCAAAAGACCTATCATTCTCGCTCACAATTCTAAAAATATCATTAACACTTCATTCTAAAAATGGCATGTAGAATAATAATATGGTCCCTTTGGGTGATGGCTTAGATCTTTATTTCTTCCATTATGATTGAATGCTAACCAAAGTTCTAGGGGGAAAAAATATATATATATTCCACCTCATAAATAGGCTTGTTTGTGTTTTGTTTTTGTTTTCATTTTCTTCATTTTGATTTTCATGTATTCAAAAATAAAGCAAAGAAAAGTTTTAAAACAACAATTCGTCTTTATTTTTGCCTGAAAACAAATTTTGAAAATTCAAAAATAACCTTTTTAGAATTTCCTAAAAAGTTGTTTTCAAGAAGTTTTTCCAAAATTTGTTTTCAAAAGAAGTTCGCCATTTTTTTTAATTTTATTTGAGGAAACTATAAACAAAAAATGAACGCAAAACAAATTTGATCAGCATTGTGCATTGCTCTGTGCAGGGCTTCATGTCACCATTGATTGCAAGTCCACAAATGGAAAGCTCAAAACAGCTGGGGTTAGTGAACTTGATGAAGAAGGAAAATTCACAGTATCTCTTCCTAATGGGATTGCAAAAAATGGAGAATTGAAAGAGGATTGCTTTGCACAGCTTCACAGCGCAACTGGTGCACTATGTGGTCTCCACAACGATCAAGAGGCCTCAAATATAATCTTCAAGTCCGTAGCCAATGGGAAACAAACCTTTGGCCTATCTGGGAAGCTACAATTTTCTCCGATGACCTGTGTTTCAGCCTTCTTGTGGCCTTTTTTCAAGCACCCGCCATTGCCCCATTTGCCTCATTGGCCAAAGTTGCCACATTGGCCAGGGATACCAATTAAATATCCTCCACCCCAACCAGAGGGCTCACCACCAGCTCCTGTTTACAACAAGCCACTTTCTCCACCACCAACATTCCCTCCGCAACCCCAACCAGAGGGCTCACCACCAGCTCCCGTTTACAATACGCCACTTTCTCCACCACCGCCTTACGTTTACAAATCACCACCTTCCCCATCACCATCGGCACCACCTCCCTACATTTACAAATCTCCAACTCCACCGTCTCCATCCCCGCCACCACCCTACATGTACCAATCACCACCTCCTCCATCACCATCACCACCACCTCCATACATTTACAAATCTCCACCTCCACCATCTCCATCACCCCCTCCACCATATTATTACAAATCTCCTCCACCACCTTCTCCGTCTCCTCCTCCGCCTTATTACTACAAGTCACCACCACCACCATCGCCATCACCTCCACCACCCTACCACCACCAACATTCCCTCCACAACCCCAACCAGAGGGCTCACCACCAGTTCCCATTTACAATACGCCACTTTCTCCACCACCAACATTCCCCCCGCAACCCCAACCAGAGGGCTCGCCACCAACTCCTGTTTACAATAAGCCACTTTCTCCACCACCAACATTCCCTCCGCAACCCCAACCAGAGGGCTCGCCACCAACTCCTGTTTACAATAAGCCACTTTCTCCACCACCAACATTCCCTCCACAACCCCAACCAGAGGGCTCACCACCAGCTCCTGTTTACAACAAGCCACTTTCTCCACCACCAACATTCCCTCCGCAACCCCAACCAGAGGGCTCACCACCAGCTCCCGTTTACAATACGCCACTTTCTCCACCACCGCCTTACGTTTACAAATCACCACCTTCCCCATCACCATCGGCACCACCTCCCTACATTTACAAATCTCCAACTCCACCGTCTCCATCCCCGCCACCACCCTACATGTACCAATCACCACCTCCTCCATCACCATCACCACCACCTCCATACATTTACAAATCTCCACCTCCACCATCTCCATCACCCCCTCCACCATATTATTACAAATCTCCTCCACCACCTTCTCCGTCTCCTCCTCCGCCTTATTACTACAAGCCACCACCACCACCATCGCCATCACCTCCACCACCCTACTATTATGAGTCACCACCTCCACCATCTCCATCACCACCACCCCCATACTATTACATATCGCCACCTCCACCATCTCCATCACCCCCTCCACCATATTATTACAAATCTCCTCCACCACCTTCTCCGTCTCCTCCTCCGCCTTATTATATATGTTTTTTCCACCACCACCCTACTATTACAAATCACCACCTCCCCCAGTGAAATCACCACCTCCCCCAGTGAAATCACCACCTCCCCCAGTGAAATCACCACCTCCCCCAGTGAAATCACCACCTCCCCCAGTGAAATCACCACCTCCCCCAGTGAAATCACCACCTCCCCCAGTGAAATCACCACCTCCCCCAGTGAAATCACCACCTCCCCCAGTGAAATCACCACCTCCCCCAGTGAAATCACCACCTCCCCCAGTGAAATCACCACCTCCCCCAGTGAAATCACCACCTCCCCCAGTGAAATCACCACCTCCCCCAGTGAAATCACCACCTCCCCCAGTGAAATCACCACCTCCCCCAGTGAAATCACCACCTCCCCCAGTGAAATCACCACCTCCCCCAGTGAAATCACCACCTCCCCCAGTGAAATCACCACCTCCCCCAGTGAAATCACCACCTCCCCCAGTGAAATCACCACCTCCCCCAGTGAAATCACCACCTCCCCCAGTGAAATCACCACCTCCCCCAGTGAAATCACCACCTCCCCCAGTGAAATCACCACCTCCCCCAGTGAAATCACCACCTCCCCCAGTGAAATCACCACCTCCCCCAGTGAAATCACCACCTCCCCCAGTGAAATCACCACCTCCCCCAGTGAAATCACCACCTCCCCCAGTGAAATCACCACCTCCCCCAGTGAAATCACCACCTCCCCCAGTGAAATCACCACCTCCCCCAGTGAAATCACCACCTCCCCCAGTGAAATCACCACCTCCACCTCCATACTATTACAAATCACCACCACCTCCAGTGAAGTCACCACCTCCTCCATACATCTACAAATCCCCACCTCCACCATCTAAGTCTCCACCACCACCCTACTATTACAAATCACCACCTCCCCCAGTGAAATCACCACCTCCCCCAGTGAAATCACCACCTCCACCTCCATACTACTACAAATCACCACCTCCACCAGTTAAGTCACCACCACCGCCCTATTACTACAAATCTCCTCCTCCACCATCTCCATCACCACCTCCTCCGTACAACTACAACGCACCACCACCACCGTACCATTATTAAGTCAGTCGCTGCCACCTATGCCTCAACCCATACTATCTAAGGCCTGCAGCTTAATTAATATTGCATCAGCTTGAATTTCCGCAAGAATAAGTAATTCCATTTTCTGAAGTTGTGTTTGAAGGCATTTTCGACATTGTTTTTCAATTTTTAATTTAAACAAGTTTATTTGTGAATAAGAAGTCCGCACAGTGGAGATACTTCTTTGAGTAATTTTTTTGTTTTTGTTTTTGTTTTGTGCAAAGCTTTCTTTTCACTATCAATTTATTGTAATAAGCAATGAAACGATGAATGTCAAATGCTAAGAGTAGCCTTATTATGCTCATCTAAGTTGTACCTTCTCCACTGCCTGTTCCAATTTATGAAAATCCAATTCCTCCTCCAATTCCACCACCAATTCCAAAATTTCCACCACCAAGCCCAGTTTATAAGAAACCACTTACTCCACCAGTTCTTGTAACGCCCCACTCTCAGGTCGTTAAATACACTAAAATAGTCTCAAAAAAATATACAAGTTTTACTCCCAAAAATAATAACTACAAAATTGTCTTCAAATTGTACCGTATTCTCCAAAATATTCTATAGTACATTTATCTCCGAAATAAACAATATTACAACTATCTCCAAATTTAATAATTACAGTGGCTGGTCTCAAATCTCTATATTAATAAATTTTTCTTATCTCAATTTTGATCTTCGCTCAAATCTGCTCCGCACCTGAAAAATAAAATAATTCGGGAAGTATACAATACGATAGGAATACAAGGCTCGGATACAAAATAAATTAACAGGAATCCAACAGTTTATGACATTAAATCAACAATACGATAATAAAGTAATTTACCAAATTGCGCAACAAATCAACCATAATTTATCTAGGACCAAATACCTGGTCCTACTCAGTACATGACCAGTGAATAAATTATTCACCCACCTTACCCAAGCTCCACGCTTATCCAGGCATATTGGTGTAAACAATTAATAAAGATTCACTCGATCCATGTACGGAGTATTTCCATGTCATTCAGTCAGACAAATCACCATTTAACACCGAAATATTTGTAGAAAATTTTACTAAATGATCAGAATATCAACGATTCGAGAACAAATGATTTTACAAAATCTATTAATAACTACATTAATCAAGTGTATTACAAATTGTGGATAATTAAAAATAGAGAACTCTTTGTAAAGAGATTTAAATAGAGTATATTGTATACAACCCGAATTTACCTCAAAATAATTAATTCCATCACCATAAATCTGAAATTGCTTCATGGATCTCCAAAAATAATTCTGATTTCTTGTAAAATTACTAACTCTCATTTTAAATATTCCTATGTCTAAACTCAAAAATTTACATTACAGATGGAGAGAGAGCCGAAAGTAGGAGAAAAGAAAAATGAGAGACAAAGAGATGAAATTCAGGAGAGGTATGAAAAGAAGAGGAGGGGCTCAATTTATAAAGGAAATGGTTGGTTTATTGTGGTAGGTGGAAAACTGTGGGTTGTTGCCCACGGTTTTGTCTTTTTTTTTTCTTTTTTTTTTCACGAGATGGGGAAATTTAGAAAAGAATTGATAAATTTATTATTAAATGAGAATAAATAGTAATGAGATAGATATAAAAGAGATGTGATGAATACAAATAAATAATTTTATTTTTTAATTTTTATTTAAAAATCTCACCACTAATATTATAATAAACCAGCAATAGCATTCACTAAATATTAATACCTCAAAATACGGAGTGTTACAGTTCCAATATATATTATGTCACTTCCTTCACCAATTCCAAAATTTCCACCACCAAGCCCAGTTTATAAGAAACCACTTCCTCCACCAATCCCAAAATTTCCACCACCAATCCCGGTTTATAAGACACCACTTCCTCCCCCAATCGACAAGCCTACATCTCCAATCCAGGAGATACTTCCACCACCGCCGATGAGAACATTCAAAAAGCCGTCACCACCCCTTACTCCAATTGAAAAATCAAAGCCATCAACCAGTAAACCATTTCCCCCAATCTCCAATACCCCTCCAACTCCTAAAAAATCACGTACGCCAATTCCTAGAGCTCCTCCAATCCCTAACCTTCCTCCTATCCCAACGACACCTCGAAAGTATTTCAATCAACCTCCTCATTCACCTCAACCATTAATGCTTAGGAGTACTTTGCATTTTCCTTAGCTTATTTGGATATTATTGAACTTTAAGCTTCAATAAAATATGTTGAATGATTTAGCAATGCTATTCTGTATTGAAGATTGAAGAGAAATGAACAAGAAAAATACGTGGGTGGGTTTGGCGATTCTTAATTGCAAAATAAAATGAACATGAGAATGTTCATAAGTTGTTCTTGGCATGTCTTCATATCCAAATTGTTGTTGATGTTTGTAGGGATTGAGTTTTGGAGTTGTAACCGAGTATGCAATTATGTATTATCAATCAAAATTTTGCTTCCTTTTATTTTATTTTCTAAAAAAAATTAGTTCCTAGTAACCATTTTTTGGATTTTTCCTAGATGTATTACTCTAAACAAGCTCAATTTGATTTAAATAACGTTAACCTTTTGGTTCTCCAAACATTTTTATGCAACATTTTGGAAGTATTCTAACTGTCAAATCTTTTGGTATAAAATCATATGGCTAAAAAAACCATACAATGATAATTGATTTTTAGTATATATGATCTTTACGATGATATACATCCAATGATAAACTTATATTTTTACAAAATGTTAATATTCATAACCAAATATTATTAATCGTACATGACTTCTAGGACATGACTTCAACAAAACTGTGCTCTATTTTGAGTGAATTGAAAATAATATTATGCACAATGGAATTTAATTTAATTTTTTTTTTAGCCATGAACATCTTACGTGTTAAATATGGAATTTAGATTGAGAACATTTCTCCCAAATCTTTGGGGTAAAAATGGCAATCCCTCAATATGTGCAGGTTATTGTCAAAGGAAAATTTTGTCTTTTTGTTAGTACATTTAAGGAGAGTAAAGGGAATTGAACCTGGTAATCTTCTAATAAAGTACAAGAATTTTGATCATTAGACTAGTTTCGCTTTGGATTGTCATCTTGATTCCAAGAAAGGCTTTTCTATGGTATTTCATCCTTGTGTAGAGTTAATATATTAAACATCACTAGTATTAAAAGCATTGTAGTATGCCTGTGAGCTCATTTATTAAGCTTGACTTGGCGAGCTTATACATGTAATTTTGGGATAGAGATTAAAAGGACTTGACTTAACCAATTTATGCAAATGACGGTTCCATTGAATCAACTGAAACTAGTTTAATTGGTTGGATTTTTTTTCACTTTATTGTAAAATTAAAAGATTAAAATTTTAATGGATTGGAATTCTTACAATTCAATGAAGACTAATGATTAAAGAATTTATTTTTTTTACGATGTCCAATGTGTTAGGGAAAATTGATAATTTTCCACAAGTAAATCAATCAATGGGAATAAAAACTAATGCGGAAAAATTAAATCAAAAGTAACACAAGAATTTTACATGGTTCCCTCAATGTGAGATACGTCCACGAGATCGAAAGCTGATTTCACTATCAACCAAAGAGTTTCCAAATGATTACAAACGAGACACGAATGGTCTAACAAAACCAACCTTAGGTGAATTCCAAATAATCACAAATAAATAAAAGGAAAGACCTCACCAAATAGATGAACAAAAGTCTTCGAAACCAGAGTTGTAAAAGACCCAAAATCTAAATCAAACTAGCATCAAATCAGAGATGCTATGGTTCAAGAACAAACCCTTGGAAATTGAATCCACACAGCAACCATTCTCTCACCAAAAAAGTTAGGGAAAATTGGCCATAAGCCCTTCACACTAACAGCTTCCTTCTAAAAGTCCAAGTTTTAAATCTTTAATGCATAAAGTCCATATTCTAATAAGACTACAATTTTATGGGCTATTTTACCCTCATTCTAGTACACATATATTTTTATATGCTGCAGCTCATATGAAACCCTGGACAATGATTCGGTAACTGGGAATGATTTGTGAGAAGTAATAGAGAAATCTTCGATATGGCGAAGATCGATTTTTTCTTTTTTCGTTTAACAGCAATTCATTTGAAATTCTTGCATTTCGTGATCAATTTTAAGGTACTAAACAGATTCAAATATGTTCCATTTAAAACATTGTTTTTTCATTAGTTTGCTTCTTCATGAAGACACTAATAGGTGGGAAATTAACTTGCTACTGATGATTGATGAGTGTAAGGGGCTTGTGGTTCATGTATAGCATGCCGACTCAAGGCTTGGGTTCAAGTTCTCATAGATATACATTTCGATAATTGTTCGAGTTAGAGTTAGAGATTTGTTCAATCACTATTTGATTCTTAATAATTCGTTTAATCACTATTAGATTAATTTTACTTAGATTGCTTTGATAATATATGTCAAAGTTGTTTTATTTGTTGATACTCTGTTTAAATGATAGTAAAATTTTACTCTGGTTTACTATAATAATATGTAATCTGTCATTTATTTGCTAATGCTCTATTTTAAATTAACAGTAAAATTTTCAGAGTAAAATTTTACTTTGAATTTACTCTGATTCAGAATAAAATTTTACTTTGAAATTTTACTCTGGTTAAAAAATGTTGATTTGCTTAACGATATAAAATTTTACTTTGATTCATAGTAAACTTTACTCTGATTCAGAATACAATTTTACGTTGAATCAGAGTAAAGTTTACTATGATTCAAAGTAAAATTTTACTCTGGTTAAAAATATGTTGATTTGCTAAACGATATAAAAATTTACTTTGAGCCATAGTAAATTTTACTTTGAATCATAGTAAACTTTACTCTAATTTAGAGTAAAGTTTACTCTGAAATACACTGTAAGGATGGCTTAATAGGAGAGTTAATAGATATGAAGATAATATAGTAAAAGAAACAAGTTTTAAAAAATTAAGGGGTTTTGAAAGTACTTATATATTCTTGTCCTTTTGAAAGACAAATTAGACAATGAAGGGTCTATCACCAAATCCCCCAAAAAGTTAAACCCAAAGCAATATATCCCAAAAATCAATTGCTACCGCTACGCCTTCGGACGAACATAACAATATACATATATACTAGTGTATGCCCGTGCCTAAAGGCACAGTGTAAATAAAAATCACAAAAGTTAGATCCATTTGGATTTCAGATTACCGACCATAAACATCTTCCACACGTCCACTCTCTCTCTCTCTCTCTCTCTCTCTCTCTCTCTCTCTCCTCTTCCATGCTTCTCACCCACGTTCACACTTCTCTCTCTCACTCTCTCTCAA